AAACTCACCCCAATGCTGGGTCTCCTGGCGCCGAAAGATCAGGCCTCCGTGCTGGTTGGGCAGCTCGCAGACCTGTCTGTTTATTTTATACTTGCGGTGTGTTGTGTGTGTGTGAGTGAGTGTGTGTCTCTGTGCTACATGTCTGCCTGGAGCTCTTTGAGAGTGGAAGAGGGTATCAATCCCTAGGAGCTACAGGCAGCTGTGAGCTGCCATGTGGGTTCTGGGAATCAAGCTGAGTCCTGTGGAAGAGCAACCAGTGCTCTTAACTGCTGTGCCGTCTCTCCATACCCAGAGATTTGTTTATTTTGAAATTAAAATTTAATTGCAATATTTCTCTTTTCCCTTTCCTCTCTCTATTGTAGAGTAAAACACACACACACACACACACACACACACACGAGAGAGAGAGAGAGAGAGAGAGAGAGATAAAATGCAGTGAAGACTAGAAGAGAACATTAGATTTCCTTTATCTAGAGATACAGTTGGTTGTTAGTCACCTTGTAGGTGCTAAGAACTTATCTCAGACCCTCTGCAAGACCAAAGTGGGATTTTATCTGGTGAGTCATCTTTCTAGATCCTATTTATTGCCTTGAGGCAGGCAAAAAAGGGTTTACATAAAAAATTATGGGTACCTGTGTCCTAATGAATATTTTTTGGTTGATCTAACCAGTGAAATATCATATCTCTTGAGCTAAGTGTCTTTCATACCTTTCCTTGTTTCTTCTTTATTAATCCATCTTTTTCAGGCTGCACAAAGTATTCGATGTTTGTGCTATAGTTGAAATATTATCCACTAGTGTTCTGTGCTACGAGTACAATGACTTGTAATTTTAGAATGAAACTTCTTCCTTTTAAAAAAAAAGGAAGTATATTTTTGTAAGTATTGTCATGCTAAAGAAATCAATTTTATGGTGTATTTTTGGTAACTTTTCTCATCTGTTGTTTGAGCAAAGACAGCAGTGTTTACTAAACATCTTCATAAGGGATTCATTGCTCCTAGTGTCAAGAGGTTTGTGAAGAGTCTTCGGGTAGTTTATTTTTGTAGAGAGTGTAGCCTTATAAGAAAAATAAAAACAGACAACACAACTTTTTGGGTGCTATTATCCAAGACTGTTGAAGTGCTTATGCAGTCAAAGAAGTGGGAGTTTCTTCTCAGGACACTGAAGCCAACTCCTTGACTAAGACACAAGCTTCTTGTGCTTCACCAGCCAGCAGAATTTGGAGCATCGATTCAGAACTGCATTTGCTGATTTGGATATAAATGGAAAAGAGAGAGCCATGGAATGTCCTTATTTTTGTCAGCAACATTGCTTTTCAAAGTTGGTTTATACCCAAGAGTTTATTTCGGTTTACTATTACACAAAAATGACAGTTTTAGATTTCATTTCTATACTAAACTACACCATTATTTATCCTCAATGTTATAATTTAAATATTATTACTTTGAATGTAATATTGTTTATATATTCTTCTAAAACACACATTTTAAATATTTGCTAGTTTGTCGTATTCCCCTTAATAATGTACACACATGGTGATCTAAACAGGTCTTTTACTTAGTAAAACCAGTCCGTTTATTATTTATATTTTCTCAGAACTCAGAGTCTATGCATGCCTCTATACTGACATTGTAATGGCCCAAATAAAGGTTCACTAATAATGGTTTACATAGAATTTTAAGCTTAACATACCTTTTATGTCAGATAATTTCATGGATCTAATGTATGTGTGAAAACATTTGAACATATCCATACATGTGCACATGAAGATGAAAAACAGCATTCATTTAAAAATTCATTACATCTATTTATTTGTGTGTGGGGGCCAACTTGCAATAGTTGGCTTCTTCTTAATAGTCCTGTTGAATCACTCACCTTTTCATTTGCCTTCCAAGTGATTCACATGAATCTCCCATTTATTACCAATATGTGTTTTGCAGAATGAATTATGAAATATCATCATTGTTTTTTTTTTAGAGCACACAAGTCTGTCTTTTTTTTAATGCTTATGTGATGGTTTCATTTTATAGTTTCTTTGAATGTGAAGGGGATAATTCATTAAATTACTATGATTTTCATAATAAAAACCTGGCTTTTAAAGATGCTTTTACAGTTATTTTTAGACATAGTAGACTTCTCACTCTTCTCCCATCCTTCCAATTGTAATATTCATGTGGCCACATATCCCACTTCTCATGTTTCTTCTATGAATAATGTTTATACTGACTAAAGGTCAAAATTTGAAAGTAGATGTACCTCTGTAAAATATGTTCTCTTGAGTTAACTTATAGAATTAAGCTGGCATTTCTCTGGAATATTTTGTGCGTATAAGGCACCATTATATTTTAGTTAATTTTTTCATTTCAATGAAAATTTATTCAGGATACTCTGTGTTTAACAGTTATATTGGAATCTGACAAATAAAGATATATGATTTTGTGTGTTCACTTACAAAGTACAAGGATCTGCAGAAAATTTTCAACTTATTCTATTAAAATTCATATTCTTAAAAAATCAACTTTGTTTTGGTATAGAAAAGATACAGCTTCGTTTTCTGGAGTTCTTGTGTATTAAGTCATTAGTTTCTTGTGCAAAGGTGTTCCTATAATGGAATTTCTTCACAATAGGTATGAGGAAATTTAGGAAAACTGAGTTCTTAGATGTTGAAGTATGTGGAGGAAAAATTGCCTGAGTATAGTTCTGTCCCCAACTTAGCAAACAAAACTTATGAAGAATCTAGTTGAGATTTCATGAATTTGTCAGCTGTCTGAACTGGATTTAAAGATATTCCCTCACAGTTATTTTACATGTGAATATTTTCTTCAGTCTGAGGTTAACACCAATACCAAACCCATAAAGTCAGATACTTAACTATGTTAAAGTTAGATCATACAAATAATTATATATATTTTAATTCTTCATATGCAATTGTTCAGAGCATGTTATCCCATGCTATCTGAGATCCCACACTCACACTATGAAACCTTTTCTATTCTTTGTAAACAAAACGATCAAAGGTGGGACATTTGCACAAATTCACATAGAATATTGACACAGTTGCTTGATTAAGGATGAACTTCATAGTTGATTTCCTAATTTACTGTGTAGTTCCATCCACCCATCCAAATTCTGACAAGTAGCTTACATGTTGAACCCCAACCCCTTTGACATCTGAAATTGACACAAAGAAGAATCCAGCACATATTGTTGAAGTGATCTATCCTCACACATATGTTTTGTATCTGTAATTGACTTTTTGCAGAGGAAAGTGGACAGAACCATGTGCCAGTGAAAAGCAAATGAGACAATGTCAACAATATTGATCTCATTTTTGAGAACTATTATTTTTATCAAGTTTACTCAACTTCCACCCAGGAGATGTTGCTAGTGTTTCAGCCACGATTTCTTTCATAATTATTTTTGGAGTACCTTTGGGAGATTACCTCAGTGTTCTTAATGAGCAAGATGATATGATAAATAGTGGGAAATGACCATTTATTGTTCTCTTCTGCCTTCAAGGTAGGTCTGCATGTTTTAGGGTAGTTGCAGTGTAGATTGATAGTTGAACATAGTAATATTTCATTCCACTTTAAAAGAAAAATTAATACCATTTTCGCTGACTTATTTTGTTAACAAAGAAATTTATTGGACTACTTTTTTTAAATATGCATGAATGAATTTGGGAATTTATTTGAGTAACTAATCCAGTTATATATAATTTTGTTGTTTATCCTTTTGAGAAATGTACAATGTTAGTACAATCAAATTTTTCTGTCTGTAAATTACACATTCTACCATTTTGGTAGATGATATTCATTTATGTAATAAAATAATATTTTTGCAGAAGTCAATTGTCATTTGAGAGTTCATCAGAATTTAGCACAGAATAAAGAAGTGACAGCCCTTTGTCTCTGAAGGCTAGACATCTCTGGGGTTACAGAGAAACTTAAGTGGAAATTGAATGATTTGTTTCTGTCTTAGAGAATATTCAACAATAAATGTTAGTTAACATTAAAATATTATTAGACTATGTTATCAAATACATTTGAGAACAGGCTATAATGCTGTAGTTTCTGTTTTTATATGTAAAACTGGCATACCAATTGCAAGGACTGCCAAATTAAATTCTAATGAGAAAATATGTATTATTTACTTTAAGTCAAGGTATTTTTTACATAGGAGTGCCCATGACTTCAGCTGTATAAACTGAGGGAACTTCAGGCTATAAAGATGCTTGTATATTCTCAATGAAGTTTCACTGATAAAAATTGTATATGAACATTCCACCATATATTTTGAATATCAAAATCATCAAATTTCTGTGATCCTCAAAATGAGTGTAGAAATAAATAAATTCTGATTTTGTTATTTATGTTGAAGCTATAGATTTTACAAAATCTACAATGAGGAAAGATTTGCATAATAATTGTCCTAAGAGGTAATATTCAACTCTTTTGCATTTTATTTATTCATCTCTCACAAAATACATCCTGACTACAGTTTCCCCTCCCTCCTATTGTAAGAAATTTTCACACGAACAGTATTAATTAAAACTTATTTGCAAATTACCCCAAAATACTTAATTAGCAGAAATTCATTACACTTAGAATGATTGTTTATGATAAGACATGCTAACTAGGGACTAATCACACAGTAAAGCATTGCTGTGGAAATCTTGATTTTGGAGTTTCTGCATCTTCCATCATTTTAATAGTTTATTACCTATAAAATTTCCTAACTATAGATTAAATAAAATTCTCTGTGTCTGTCCCAAACTACCCTGTATCAGATTAGAAAATTTAGAACCTTTTCTGTTACACAATCAAGCAAACCATTTTACATATAGTATATTTAATTCCAACAGTAGACACATGGGAAAAAAAACTGCATAATTTTTAAAGTGTATACCAAGGAACAGAAAAATTTAAATCAAAACTTTTAAGAATGAGAAATATATTTATAAAGGTTTTTCTTTGCAGGAACCACAGGCTCTATATTAAGGCAATGCCAAATTTTACAGATGTAACAGAATTCCTTCTTGTGGGCCTGACAAGGCGCCAGGAATTACAGGTTCTCTTTTTTGTGGTGTTCTTGGTGGTTTACATGCTCACTCTGCTGGGCAACATTGGTATGATAATTTTGATCAGTGTCAGCCCTCATCTTCAGAGTCCTATGTACTTTTTTCTAAGTCATTTGTCCTTCGTGGATGTGTTTTTCTCCTCCAATGTTACCCCCAAAATGCTGGAAAACTTATTATCTGAGAGAAAAACAATTTCTTACGTGGGGTGTCTGATCCAGTGCTACTTTTTCATTGCCCTGGTCCACGTGGAGGTCTACATTCTGGCTGTGATGGCCTTCGATCGCTACATGGCTATCTGCAACCCTTTGCTCTATAGCAGCAAGATGTCCAGGGTTGTCTGCGTCCGCCTCATTTCTGTGCCTTATGTCTACGGATTCTCGGTGAGTCTTATTTGCACTCTGTGGACATATGGTTTATACTTCTGTGGAAACTTTGAAATCAACCATTTCTACTGTGCCGATCCTCCTCTCATCAAGATTGCCTGCGGAGGCGTGTACATCAAAGAGTACACGATGATTGTGATTGCCGGGATTAACTTCACATATTCCCTGTCTGTAGTTCTCATATCGTATTCGCTCATTGTGGTCGCGGTGTTGCGCATGCGCTCTGCTGACGGCAGGAAAAAGGCCTTCTCCACCTGTGGATCACACTTGACAGCTGTTTCCATGTTTTATGGAACTCTTATATTCATGTATCTCAGAAGACCAACGGAGGAGTCTGTGGAGCAGGGAAAGATGGTGGCTGTGTTTTATACTACTGTGATTCCCATGCTGAACCCAATGATATACAGTCTCAGGAACAAAGATGTGAAAGAAGCCGCCAGCAAGGCAATCGCCAAGGCAAACTTGAGAAAATGACAGAGAAGCAGATATTTTATAGGCCTGTTAATACAAATGTGTATGACCAAGCACAAAATCCCTAGCTTGAAACCTTTCTATGAACAACCCTTACACAAGCTCTAAGATCCAGCTTTGCAACATGATTGTCTTTTAAAAAATAAGCATGTTTTCTCTTACATACTCAACCATGTTATGAAAACATATATTATTTAAAAACTTGTGTTAATTCAATTGGAGGTAATCACTAATAGGTTTGGCTAATAAATGTTAATGTGGAAATCCGATACTTAGTGGTTTTTATTTTATTTTTTAATTCATGTATTTTTTAAAAGAAAACAAACTATCTTTTTTCATTTTACATATCAATCACAGTTCCCTCACCCTCCCCTCCTCCTAGTCCCTCCAACTATTCCCCCACCCTACCCCCCATCTACTTCCCAGAGCGGGTAAGGCACACTGCTTTGGGGAAGGTCCAAGTCCCTCCCTACTATGTCTAGGCTGAGCAATGCCTCCCTCCAAAGAGAAAAGGTTCCCTAGAAACCAGTACAAGAAGTACGGTTAAGTCCTTGTGGGGGTGGGTGGAGAAGAAAGGGTGGAAGGGAGAGAGAGGTCCTGTTCTCACTGTTAGAAACCTTACTATGAGACAAAGTTACAGGACTGTCACACACTTGGAGAGGGCCTAGGTCGGTCTCTGCAGCCTCCTTTACTGTTGGTCCTGCCTCCCTGAGCTCGGGTCAGCTGTCTCTGTGAGTTCCCCCATCATGGCCACCCCCTGGCTGGTATAATCCCTCCTTCATTTCTTCAGTAAGACGCTTAAAGCTCAATGCAGTGCTTATCTGTGGATCTCTGCCTCTGCTTTCATCAGTTACCAAATAGAGTAAATCTGATAGCAATTAGGGAAATCAACAATATGGTTACAGTTGATGACCAGTTCAGGCACCTTCTCCACTATTGCTAGAGTCTTAGTTGAGGTCATCCTTTTGAGTTCCTGGGGTTTCCCTAGCACCAGGGTTTCTCCCTAGCCCCAAAACAGGATAGATAACTAGGAGGGCCCAAAGAGGAATGCATAGATTTCCTTGAGAATGGAAAGTAGAAAAGATCTTCTAGGTAAACTGGGGTAGAGTTTGGGGGAATGGCAGGATGGGAACTAGAGGGAGCCTGTTGGGTGGGCTGGGTGCTGAAGGAAGGTTGGAGGCAGGATCGAGGGGGAGAGAAACAGGTTATGCTTTTTTGTCCTTTTTGAGTTACCACTTCCTTCCTTGAATGAATGAAGTTCTCCCATGGTTAGAATGACTTAAGCCTATACATTTTTCAAAGATGATTATCTAACTTAATGCTTTTTGAAACATAACCTAAGACACTGAGAGAGGCAATGCAGATGCAATAAGGCAAATACTGCACATTTTCTCTCATGAGTGGGTGGTTTCAACTTTCAAATCTACTGTTTTGTGTGTTTAACATGAGCACATTTGAAAACTAAGAAACTATAAACAGTACTCATTAAAAGACCTGCTTATAAAAAAGAGATAAAATGAAAATAGAAGAATTTTGCTGGGACCTTGATGGGGATTACATTGAATCTATAAATTGCCTTTGGTAGAATTGCCATTTTTACTATGTTGATCCTCCCAATCCAAGAGCAAGGGAGGCCCTTCCATTTTCTGGTATACTCCTCAATTTCTTTCTTCAATGCCTTAAAGTTCTTGTCAAATAGATCTTTCACTTCCTTGGTTAGAGTTACCCCAAGATATTTTATGCTGTTTGTGGCTATCGTGAAAGGTGAAGCTTCTCTGATTTCCCTCTCTGCTTCCATATCCTTTGTGTATAAAAGGGTGACTGATTTTTTGGAGTTTATCTTGTATCCTGCCACATTACTAAAGCTGTTTATCAGCTGTAAAAGTTCTTTGGTGGAGTTTTGGGGGTCGCTTATGTACACTATCATATCATCTGCAAATAACGAAAGTTTCACTTCTTCCTTTCCAATTCGAATCCCCTTGATCCCCTTTATGTTTTCTTATTGCTATTGCTAGAACTTCAAGCACTATATTGAAGAGGTATGGCGAGAGTGGACAGCCTTGTCGTGTTCCTGAGTTTAGTGGGATGGCTTTGAGTTTCTCTCCATTTAATTTGATGTTAGCTGTCGGCTTGCTGTATATAGCTTTTATTATATTTAGGTATGACCCTTGTATCCCTAATCTCTCCAATACTTTTATCATAAAGGGATGTTGAATTTTGTCAAATGCTTTTTCAGCATCTAATGAAATGATCATATGATTTTTTTTCTTTCAGTTTATTTATATGCTGGATTACATTGATAGATTTTCGTATGTTGAACCAGCCCTGCATCCCTGGTATGAAGCCTACTTGATCATAATGGATAATTTTTCTGATGTGTTCTTGGATTCGGTTTGCCAGTATTTTGTTGAGGATTTTTGCATCGATGTTCATGAGTGAGATTGGTCTATAATTCTCTTTCTTGGTTGAGTCTTTGTGCGGTTTTGGTATCAGAGTAACTGTAGCTTCATAAAAGGAATTTGGCAATGCCTCTTCTGTTTCTGTATTGTGAAATACATTAAGGAGTATAGGTATTAGGTCTTCTTGGAAGTTCTGGTAGAATTCTGCATTGAAACCACCTGGTCCTGGGCTTTTTTTGGAAGGGAGGTTTTTGATAACCTCTTCTAATTCTTCGCGACTAACAGGTCTATTTAGATTGTTCACCTGGTCCTGGTTTAACTTTGGTATATGGTATTTATCTAAAAAAGTGTCCATTTCCTTTACATTTTCCAGTTTTGTGGCATATAGGCTTTTGTAGTAAGATATAATGATTCTCTGAATTTCTCCTGTGTCTGTGGTTATGTCCCCCTTTTCATTTCTGATCTTATTAATTTGCAAATTTGCTCTCTGTCATTTGATTAGTTTGGATAGGGGTTTGTCAATCTTGTTGATTTTCTCCAGGAACTAGCTTTTTGTTTCATTGATTCTTTGGATTGTTTTCTGTGTTTCTATTTTGTTGATTTCAGCCCTCAGTTTGATTATTTCCAGTCTTCTACTCCTCCTAGGTGAGTCTGCTTCTTTTTTTTTTTTCTAGAGCTTTCAGGTGGGCTGTTAAGTCTCCAATGTGAGCCTTCTCTGTTTTCTTTAAGTGGGCACTTAGTGCTATGAACTTTCCTGTTAGGACTGCTTTCATAGTGTCCCATAAGTTTGAGTATGTTGTTTCTTTATTTTCATTGAATTCCAGGAAGACTTTAATTTCTTTCTTAATTTCTTCCTTAATCCAGGTATGGTTCAGTAGTTGACTGTTCAGTTTCCATGAATTTGTAGGCATTCCCTCACGTGACTTTTGGCTTGAATATACCAAAATACTTGCAAAGAAAAATATGCATTGGTAGATTATTTAATTCAAAATGTGTTGAATACCCTGTGAACTCAAAAGTCTTCCAGCCTCAGCATGAAGGCTTGAAAATGAAGCCCGATGAGGATGAGCTGGCATAAGTCTCAAAGTTGGAAGGTTTGAAAATCATTATCCGATGTCTGAGGGGAGGCAGACACCTCAGCTTAATGACCAAGGAAGAAAAATCACCCTATAACTACATTTTCTGTTCTGTTTGTGTCTTAGACAGATCAGATTATGTCTCTCCACATTAGTGAGATGGCTTTCTCTGTTGATTTTAAGTGCTAACCTCTTCTAGAAAACCCTTATGGATACACCTAGAGATAAAGAATTGGCAACATTGTGTAGTCCACTTGGCACATAACCTTAATGGTGACGTAAATTAATTTCAGAAAGTCATAATTATTTTGTTTGTAAAAGATACAGTGAAACGTGATGACTAGCATACATGGTACAGATAAAGTGCAAGGAGAGGTATCCCAAATAGTTAAGAATACTTGCTTCTTTTACATAGGAACATGGTTAGAGACCCAGCAGCAACTAGTGGATTAGGGAATCTGATACTCTCTTCTAGCTTTCAAGCATATCAGATATGCACATGATGAACTTTACAGACAGGTAGGAAATAAACTTACTAGCAAAAATAAGTACATTTTAAAAGTTTTTCCTAGAATAACTCTGGTTTAACTGCTAATCTTTTACTAAATGCATTGAACAGAAAAGAAAGTAGAAAGCCAAAGCTAGATTTACCAACTGTGTTCACTTTCTGTTCAGTGACATCAGGGCTAAATTTCAGTCAACAAATAGTTTATCAAAGCCTTAAACTAGTGTCTTTTGAAAAAAATCTAGTGTGTTTGTGTATGCGTGTGTGTGTGTGTGTGTTCATGTGTTAGTAGAGGCACACCTGTGCCATTACGTCTGTGTGGAGGTCAGAAAATAATCTCTGTTGTTGTCTGTCACCTCCTATCTTGTTTGAGACACATCTCCTACCATTCTTCATAGCCCACATAATGTTAGTTGGCTTATAAGCTTCTGGGATCTTCTGTCCCAGCCTCCAATCTTCCCATAGGAATACTGAGACTATAGATGTCCATTAACATGTTAAAATTTAGGTGGGAAATGGAAGGACTTTACTCATCAGAAGTATGATAAAAATGAATTTATTTCAGAGATACAAAGAGACATTTCTGTGTATTGCATTGGTCCTGGTCAAGAAATTCCTTTCTTGAGGTGCCTTAGAGGTACTACATGGCATTTTTCAAGGGCTTTCCTCAGAGCATTCTTTACCTCCTGGTTCCTTAAACTGTAGATCATGGGATTGAGCATGGGTATGACAATTGTGTAAAACACTGAGGCCATTTTGTCTGTGTCGAGGGAATGGCTTGATTTTGGCTGCAGGTACATGAAGATGAGTGTTCCATAGAATATGGTCACAGCCGTGAGATAAGAAGCACATGTTGAGAAGGCTTTGCACCTGCCTTCTGTGGACTGGATTCTCAATATGGCAGCCACAATGTACAAGTAAGAAATAAGAACAGTAGCCAAAGAACTGATCATGTTGAATCCAGCAAAGATGAATATCAGAATCTCCTTGAGGCTGGTGTCAGAGCAGGCAAGAGCCATCAAA